GTCTTTCAGCTCTAGTTCGTTCAAGACTCCAATACACCTTAGTTTATCCAACCCTGAGAGCTCAAGTGCTGCCTTTACTCCAGCTATAGCTATAAAATAGACAATTTATACACAAAAACTCAACTCTGATTGTGACAATAGAGATATATAGAGTTTACATCCCCCCCCCTAACAGCCCACCCTTCCCCTCATTTACTGCCAGGGCTACCTGAAACCCCCTCCCTTTAGAGGCACCTGAGTCTGTAGAAAGCTGAGATTCTGTTTTTTTCTTTTACAGGTTTGCATCTAAAACAACACAAACTACATGTATACAAGGAGATACCAGCGCCTCTTGTGTGAGAAATGCTTTTAAAATCTATATCTTCCTGATTCTTCTTGTACTCAAGGAGGGTAGAAAGGCCAGCCACAACAATTTCTCGTCCGAGCCACATTCTCCTCAATTTCTCGTCCGAGCCACCTCGAAATCCTCGTCCTTCGCTTATCATGTGTGTTTAAAGTTTCTAAATCTTGAAGATAAAGCTATCTTTTAAAAATCAGGCCACGTTAGGGCATAAAATATGGATAGACTAAAGTATTGCATTGATTACATCATGATGAAATCTTCAAAGCCGTGAGAATGATGTCAAACTTTATTTAGGTGAAACTTAAATCTCTATTGCCTCCCTAATGGGTAACCTTCGTGATACAAAATAAATAGCAAAATATTTGGCAAACCTCTGCCTATAATTTTCCACATGGAACCACCCGAAAAAATTCTATGGTTTTCTCTAAAATTATCAAAAAAGATCAAAGTTCTATAAACTTGGAATTATTTGCGGCATTCTACGCCTAGATTATCTGAAAATGCGCGTAAGAAAGGTGAATATTTTTCAGGACATTGCACTCAAAAACTTAAATTCTACTGAAAGTACTTCTTTCTATTTACAAAAATTTAATATTTCGTTAATGCTCTAACGTGACCCGATTCTTAGAAAATTGTTTTATCTTGGAGAATGTGGCTCGGACTAGAAATTGTTGTGGCTGGTCTTCCTCCCCTCACTCAAGTATACATCTATCATAACTCTATCTATCATAACTCTACTATTGTGACAAACTGTTAAGATGTAAAGTTTTGTAAAACACATGCTTCTGCTTGGCTCAGGAAATAGATTGGAGAAAACTAGGATTATAATTAATCCTAGAGAAGATTCGAGAAAATCCCTGCAGTTGTGTTGACCTTGTAGTTTAATAAAACTTCATAAATTCCCAGTTATATTGTGCATTATCCTCCAGATGTCCAGGGATTATTCGGAATCAATAAATTTATGAATAATTAGAATTCAACAATAAATAAGTGCGAGGCCTTGCCCGTGCAATTTCAAATATTCAATGGGTTCTCAAAAAAATCAGCTAATCTTTGGTCTATCCATTTGGCTATAATTATATATAGATGAGCGATTATCAATTATTAAAAAATAAGAACTTTTTAAACCCTGAAAGTTTTTATTAATTAATATCTTTATGTCGAGCTGATTGTAAAAGGAGTTTCCTCTAATAAATGATATAGGATTTACCATAGATTACTGCTGCGTTGAATGACAAGACAGAAAGAGAGCATGCGCGTAACTCCTTTGGGCTTCTGCCTCAGGGTTATTGTGAACGAAAAACCCCTAAATCTTGAAAAGACGACATCTGGTGTTCTCTCTGTATTATTATTAATCTATGGAGTTACAAATTTCCAGTGAAAAAGTTTATTAGCAATATTTACTTCTATTTGATTATTCAGTAAAGAGATTTAATATAAATCGTGATTCAGGGGCGTCTAAAATTTTATGTTTATGCTACCTAGAAGGATGGACTGTACAAGTCTATACCGTCAAACACTCCTGTATGCCGAGTCCATTAGCGCCTGATCCAATTAGGGTTCAGTCATGTGTTTGTTGTCTATTCTGAACCAACAGAAATTGTATGGCGTCAACATCTATCTTTCTATCTATCTCATTATCCAATTAGAGTTATGAATCCTTCAATCGGCGCTAACAGTAAATGCAAATATTTACTTCTACTGAAACCAAAGTGCAAAGAGAACCCAGGTTTCCTGAACATTTTCAGGCTTCAGATATATTTTATCAAAAGTCTTTATATCTATTTGCTGAAGTTTTAAATAAAACTTAGAATGCACTTCGATGTCTTGATATAGAATTTTCAATCATTCAAATAAAACTGCATTCAAACGTCATCAATGCATATCTACTGTTGAACGAGATTGCAAAATTACAGTTCACATTTCTTGGAATAAAGGATTAAATGTTATTGCTAAAAGTATGTAGTGTTCATGTATATAGATAGTAGTACACAGTGTTTACAAATTTCAACTAGAGAGGAAGCCGGCTTTGTGACCTCGTATGTGAAAAACAATTTATCTGAGCTGAGCTGAAAACCTTGGGAATGGTGGACATCGAGATTAATGCTTGATACTTTCTTTTTCTTAATATCGAGACTAACCTAATCTTGTACTTATATCCTGAAAAGTGTATAAAATTCAACCAATCAGCGTCGCATATAAGTAGCTAATAAATTTTAAATTTTGCGCGCCATTTAAGATTTATATACAGAAACGGGAGGGACTCTCTAATTTTGAAAAACCGGTTTTTGATTTTTCTCTTCTATATCCAAGAAAGAACGGTTTAAGAAGAAAATAATAAGTGTTTCCATTGGATACTCAGATTAAGTAATCGGGATAAGAGGACTATGATTAAAAGCGTAAAAAATTTCAATTTTACGTCCAATATACTTTAGTTTGACAGGAAAGGTACAGCTTTTATTTTCGTTTCGTTTCTCATTCAGTTTGTCCTCCCTGCAACATCTGATGATGTAAATAAATAAAGAAAATGAAATTTCAATTTCTTTGCAAAATACTTTTATTTATTTTATAATCCTGAAGATAGATTCTTGAAATTTATATTTATTTTCTTTTAAAATTAAATTCTAGTTTACATTTTCCATCTTAAAATAGACTACTGGACTACTGGACCACTGGAATACTGGACTACATGACTACATGATTACTGGACTTTTATACTGCTGAACAATTGGACAACCGGAGTACTGGACTACTGGAGTACTGGAGTACTGGACGACTACTTGACTACTGGACTACTGGACTACTGGA